AATAGAATCATCCCATTTCTGTTCATTGATCGCTAGGTGAAATAGCTTAATAAATATATTGTTGAAGAAGGTCCGAACCTTTAAGTAGGCGTTGGCTATATACAGCTTTAGATTACGATAGTCATTGCAACACCGTTGCTGGATATGTGTTCTCTCACTGCGAAACGCTTTTGCTATATATTTTAACCTGTAATAAGAAAAATCAACACGATTAAAGCATAAAAATGTCTATACATTCCGAAAAATTCGAAATCTTAACTCCTACACCTCTTTATAACAAGACCATAACATTGGGGACAGAATTAAAGACTTGCACTGCAGTTAAATGAAGTTAACGAAGTACAATTATCTTTCTATCTTTGAAAGCGACTAGCTAATTACTCCGAATTTTTACCCCATTTGTGGAAGTTGTCCAGCTGTTAGGGATGTTTCGAAACCCATGCTTTTTTTTTTCTTTTGCTGTGGTCATACAGTTATATTATTATTGATATTATCATTCATATTTTTTCATTTCTCGCGTAATCATTGTATAGTACATTCTGCTGCAATTGTTTTCTCTGGTTTCGGAACATGACACGACTCAGATTGAAGGCGTGCGCCTTAGAAGAGTGCGGGATGTGCCTCAGTACTGAAAGCCTTGGATCTAATGCTGGTCTAAAATAGCTAGAAGGGAATTCACTATTAACTACATATTTGCGAATCTTCCTTGAAATGTTAGTTTAGGTCCGATTTTTAATAAGCACTTGCCTCTTGGCAATTGGTACATCTTTTTCCGCGTCTGTGTGACATCCATGTGGTGACGTTAGTAGTCTATAATCTCTAATGTGCAACTAATTCGAATTATGAGGTCCGGTTAGTCCTCCGCCTAAAATAATAGGCTTACCTCTTATTTTATGTTTCGGAAACAAGGTGCTAAAAGAAATATTTGACGATTAATTTCTGGACTAATAAAAACGAAGAGATGACTAGTTTTCACAGTCCGTTTCGTGAGGAAATCAACCATAACGTGCGACCGAAATAAATTTCCTATTTCGCTTATTGCTTATCCTGGTGCCATTCATCTATATTGTTAGGCTTATAATGCAGACATTTACGGAACTATTAACATACTAGCTATATTTTCCAGGGCGCCATTTAGTTCCCGTTTTCATTGTCGGTCTTTTAAGTCGTAGTTGATCACCGATACGCGGTACGCCCTTAATATGGGCTTTGAAGGTATTCATAGATATATACATATGGTACTGTAAATCTATATGGCACAGACTCGAAACTGAGCGTAGGTCTCATTTTTATGGCTATGCAATCAAACATTAAGGGGTGCCTATTCGTGCCTGTAGTGCTTAATACAGTGCGATATAAAAATCCTTTATCTTTAATCAAAACAAACACTTTACCGTAGTTCGTGTGCCGGTCATGTTTACTTCTATATATTCGTTCAATGAGCTTCTCTGCTTAAAAATAAAGACGTATTTACTACTAAACAAAAGTATAAAATGTGATAGCTGCCGATTTCAAGTGACCTTATATCCGTAGGTCGCGCGAGTCTCACAGTATGAATATAAAACGTCCTGAGGTTCCTTTTAGACTATTCAGCTCAGGACGAAGACTAACAAAGGCCATGGCATCACGCTATCTAGATAATAAACACGATCACGAGCCGCTAGAATAGAGCCAAATGTGTTGTTGTCGTGCACGCATGAACCTTTGATTCAACACGCCGAATCGTGGAAGTCCAATTTCGGATCCACCTTCACTCTGATACGCTTAGCACCAAAATAGTTGCTCACAGTACACTATGAAAACACCAACCAGGAATATCATCGTTGGACAGTGCCAAACACTAGCGCATTAATTAAAGTTATCACCTAGTTTTCACACAATAATAGCTATATCGACCTTTGTTTGTGATCACTAAATGAGAGATGTTACCACTCCGATCGAATATCCTCTCTTGCTTCCAACACATGTGTTAAACCTTGCCGCTCATTGTCGGCTCGACGTTTGAATACTACTGAAGTATAGAAAAGTGTTTACAACACGCTCGCTTATGTAAGTCGCGTAAGTGTATTCAATATGCTGACATTATACTAAGCAGAGCTCCCCCTTTCTGTGCCGAAGAACAAATCTCCTGCGGTTTACTTTTATGTCAGGTACGCTTATTTTTTTTCACTCAAAATACTATACATTATAATCATTAGCACGTTCGTCTATTACCTGTTCTAGCAACCTTCTATGTACCCTCGTTCCTGTTTTCAATCTTGTCGTGTCTTCCCTAGGCCAGACGGCGTCAAGGAAACGAGTTAATGTTGGATGGGAGCTTATCGTTTTTTACTGCGTTCTTTTTTCAAATATTTTTCCGACAACGAAATACTACATACTGTAGAAAGACCCTGCCCTCGATTGTTCTTCTTGAGATCGTTAAATTTTGTCTTAGGCTTGGATTTCAAAGATGGCCATCGTTTAGCAAGCAGCTTTTGAATCATAGGTGCACCGATAAAATCTTTGTTGTTCACGCTATAACTGTTTCAGGTTATTTCGAGAACTTCTCAATGTTAATAAGAGACGGATAGAAAGTGTCAAAAAGAAATACTATTCCTTGCAACCATCATACCGCGTTTGAAGTCTAATCTCAAGGTAAAATCATGCTCTTCAGCGGTATATAGTTCTAACCACTAGCAAACAAAAAATTAGAAAATTGAAACAATAAGAAAAACGAGCATTTTTTATAGGATAACGAGAAAAAGGTATCATTTGTAAAAAAAAACGTATATACACAAGGGATTTCCGCAACATGAGCAGACATATGTTAGAAACCAGGTACCGCTTGGCTTTAAACGTATACCTATAGATTTTATACAATCTTGTCGATCAAATTTCCAAGAGTTATCCGTATATTCATTCTGAAACTTACTAAACCGAGCTTAGCTTGAGTTCAGAGCAGGTAAACCTTATCGCCAATCATAGATTTGCTTTGTTCCATAGACTTTCCATTAGAATAAGACTGTCAAGTATGACGAGAATAACAGCAATTAAAATTAACACCAAAATTCGAACCGAGTTAAGTTTGCCTATAAATCGTAAAGCCAAGCCCACTTCGTTTTTTTTTTTTGTTATGATGCTAATTGAGAGAGTGTAACTTTATTATGAACGAGTCATTTCCCAACAAAAAAGTAATGCTCATTACTATAACATAACTGTGGACGCATCTACTTTTCTCTAGGTTATTGGCACGTTCCACACAGCGTGTGCGTGTGAAGACAGTGTGTATTACACAAAGTCGATCTAAGGTTAGGCAGAAGTTATTGCTACGTAGTATTGATCATTTTTACAGCCGATTCAGTACATATTCATTGCACAGGACACTTCAGCGAATCGTGCGAATGATAAACCCCATCCACTTAGTTAGAACTTAAGTTTTTTTGAAACTTTTTGTATACATAGTAAAATGTTACTTAATAGCCAGCAGGCAAGTATGACAATCTTATATTGATTTTAATAAAAATGAGGCTTTAGAGTGTGCTGAAATGAAATTCACATAGGAAGCGAGAAACATTTTTACAGCGACCATTTACCATCTTTTTTTTAATCCTTCATTATTAAGAATCATGCAGACGCTCAGTGTTCATGCACAATAATGCACAAATATTAATCAATTACTTTTTTTACGTAAACACCGCAAAATACAAAAAATTATCCTCATCATTATTCGAACTTTCGAGGTAGGATTTTTATTTCGTGAAGCTGACATATAAAGTACTTGCATTTATAAGTTTGTTTTTGTGATTTTACAGATATTGAGTTTTCGTAGGCTTGACGGTGTCGATATCGGAACGCCCGAAACAGCCCCGATTGGTTTTACTAATTCTGCCTCTATGTTCTACTCATTTGATGAAGATTCATTTGGGCCTCGCTCTTAACATTACATTAAACCTTTACAGTAATATTGGCGCCTGATCTTATACTCGGGATGTACGTAATCCAGGCCGTAATTTTTCGGTTGAGATATTAAACTGGTCTGATAGTAAATGTAATTTTCTCGTCTCATCATAATGTTTACAAGCAGAATCAAACATAAACCTATTAAAGACAAACTATCTATTTCTAAACTAATAAACAATGTATTGCTTATGTATATTGTTTGAATTTAGAAGAGATTTAGCATCAACAGTTGTTCGTGCAGTATGAAAGATTGCATTGACACTTGTAGAGTAATAGCAGCTACGAATACCGCGAGCTGATACATCGATTTCAAAATATGAATCTAATTGTTTGTTTTGTTACCGAGAGTAATTTGAGCTGTTTTGAATCACAGCCTTCGTAGGATCCTGGCCGAGATAAGGATTGGTCTGGAGCGCATACGATCGCTATTAAGTCCAGAGACCAGACATTATTTATGTGGAGGAAATTAATTCTAAGAAATATAGTCGAGTCTTTCCTCTTTCGTACTGTACTTCTATCTAACGAGATTCTGCACTGTGTTCTCATAAAGGCTCAAGGTTCTAAGTGTGTCAACAGAAAAAAAAAAAAGCTAAAAGTTAACAACTTCTAGCTTTTTAGCTCTCTATTAGGGTTTTGATTCAGTTGAGAAAGTTTAATTAGGATAGGGGTGGTGAGATTTGATCTTTTATTGTTCAAAAGCTAGAGTTTTGGCTTGAGGAACTATTTTTACTTAGGTGAGCTGTGTGAAATCTGATTCGGTGTCGGCAGAGCGAAAGCTCATGTATGTGCCCGCGTTGAAAGGTAACGTACATAATCTATACCATGGACTTGTTTTCATTTCTGTCCAGCCTCTTCAGGCAAGCGCTGCTTCATAGCAAACTCCACCTCGTATCTGCGTACACGGTTTACGTGCTGCCAAAGCTTTGTTGGAGTACGCTTTTGAGTGGAACGTTGTTCCATCACATTGTGAGAGTGCATATGCACTATGAAATTACAACACTCCCCTGTTAGAGCCAGCCTCGAATCGTTTCTAAGGTAGTTTGTTCGTGTTGTCGTCGCGCCACAAGCAGAAAAACATAAGCGGAATACTAAACTAAGCAAGCACATGTAATAAAAAGTGAACAGAAAGCGTCGTACGATTATTCTAACTAGTTGTTCTCTTCAGTGTAGGATACAACGAGAAGCTGTTGAGTTGACTTTTGTTGCCCAGTATCATTGTTGCTGGTGACGCTGCGAGGCACTGTTACTACTAACTGCTAATTTCTGTTAGCAACGACGGGTACCTGTGTCATTTAACCGAAAGTAAAAAACGAGGTTAGCGAACGGAAACAACAAATCAAAATGCCTCGCTTTTCGTTCTTCTCCAACAAAAAAAGTCAAAGGCAACGGGCTCACTTAGACCGATGCGCCACATCGCACAAGCCGTTTATCTCGAAGCCGTCAAACTTCCAACATATCGTTCATATTACTGGGGTTCGTACTATTTTTGGAACTACTTCACTGTAAATCTCAATACTTAACGACATATATGCAGTTATATTACCAGAGCGCCGTCACATATTAAAGCACCAGGGTTTCATATGAAAACCCACTAGCAAAAACATAATGTAATTGACAGTAGCATTAAGTAATTTTTTTTAAAAACGGTGTAAGTACAACTAGAGGTTTTAGTTCACTACTGTTCATGCTTTGAATGCTCACTATTGAAAAGTTATTGCAGGAATATTGTATAT